AGATTTGAGCTTTTTTTTTTCCTTCCTTCCACCTAATCTTTCCAAATGCCTGCTGAAAGCCAGAATAACTGTTCCAGTAGCTTGTTGTTTTTTTTTTTTTTTAAGTAGCAGTCAAAACAATATCACTAGAAGTCTACGGACTAGTTAATAGCAAATGGCTTTCTGTGGTTCCTTCCTCACCCTGTTGCCAGATCATTCTACAGCAGATTTCTGTACCAGCCTGCATGGCTCTGTCTGCCAGCCAGTGAAGATACACAGCCATGCTCCTAGAGGTGCTATGGGGTAGTACCCTGGGGCACCCACTGGTAGCCCAGGTATCATCTGGATAATCTCCAAATCAATAGTGAATTTCACTCAGATGCAGCAATCTAAATACTGCCGAGTTTAGTAAATGCAACACAACGTCACTGCAACGTATTTTAATGCCTCATCAACAGTAAAAAACAAAGTAATTGCATCCCGAATCTAACTACTTGAAGAGCAACCTTCCATGGTCAAGTTTTATGCCAGATAGTGAAGGATTCAGCATACAGCATATGACCTACATAGCAGGAAGTCAACTTTGTTTCAATACTGTCCCCCTGAGCACTGAAAAATTTGGAAATCAGACAAGATGAATGCAGCGGCCCAGATTCTCTCCTTCATTCGGGCAGCTCTGCATTGCATCAGTAGTCCTAATTCACCCTACAGGGGCCGCAGTCACAGCTGTGATCCACAGAGCCTGTGGTACTATCATTTTCCCGACCCACGGCTGGAAAACATGAGAGCATGCTCACTACCAGTGACCCCTGACTGCTGAAACATCACTCAGTAGCCATGGTTTATAAGTATAAATTAAAGTAGCCTTCAGGGTGCTATAACTTACATGGCTATAACTTGCATGCTTGAGACACACACGTGCCCAGACAATTCACCAGGTCCGTGTTGTTTGGACCAATATCTCTACTTAGATATAGGCTGCAAGGTCAGCCAGAAGACAGGCCAGGGAAAAAGGTCAGAGTGCCAACAGGTATTTCTTCTGTCATTGCAGTACCATCATGTCAGCCAGACAGGCCAGCCAAGAGACTTTCTGAAGAACCATGTCCTCATACGCCATGAGGGCAATTGGGATTTGAAGGTCATCTGATCACAGGCAACTTAGTGCTACATGAAGAGCTGCAGCTGACTTGCATCCCCGCTATAGAGCTGTGTAAGGGGGGCAAGGGAGTGAGCTCATTTCTAGCCTGACCCAGCCAGAGTTATGTACGGACATAACCAACAAATCCTAGACCGGTGCAGAGATGATCCAGAACTAGCAGAACCACTAGGGTGGTGCAGAGATCTCTTCCTGCTTTCTTCATCCTCGTTGAGCTTTGCACCCATTATATCTGAAGCAAGAGGTTGCAGGACCTCCAGAATCAGGCACTAAAATGTTAGGGTTTCAGCATGGGATAACTAAAAGCAGTAACAAACATTTTACACAGCACATACAATTTTGATGAGGCCGCAGGAATCAGGCCTGATTTCCTGCTAGGTCCCTAACCCTGTTCTTCAACCAGTATTCCTGGCAGGTTGACAGAGAGTGGGAGTCTGTAAGAAGTTATTGCTCCAGGATGGTCTCAGAGATCTCAGAGTTTCTAAGCTGCTGGCTCCACTACAGATCTCATCAGGCAGATTGCCAAGAAACTCAGAGTGGAGGATCTCTGCTCATAAACTCCAAGGCTGCCAGCTCCCTGTTAGCCCACCAGGAAGAGACAAGAAGCAAGTCTGGAAGCTCTGGAAACGTGCAACTCCTTTACAGCTCAGGCAGCCAGAGTACCCAGACAGACTGCCTTGAGCTGGGGACCCCAAGGCTTCTGATGCCTCCAGTTTCAGGTGTCACTAACTTAAAAAAACCACTCATTTTCAATTCAAATCAGAATATATCCAAACTAAACAAATTTATCAAGATCCTCTGCAAAACTGAATAACCTTTTTACCATGCTACTCCTCTTAGAGAATGCAATTCTGGATGGAGTACAGCACATCTTGCGGTCTAGACCCATAAACCTACAGAGTGTCCCACCACTTAGCAGACTGCACTTTCATAGCCTTCATAACCTCCTTGCCCTTCCTCCGTACCCCAAGTACTCATCCCCTCCCAGTTTTATTTTCAAAAGCAAGCCCTTCAAGGAATAACAATTTTTGTATTTTTTTTCACCTTAAAACACATCCTGTATAGCCATATAACTCCAGAGAAAGCAAACAGAAAGCAACAATAAAAGACACTAATTTCACATCTTCACATCTTCACATTGGCTGAGTTGAAAATGATTTATTCTTCTCAAATTCCTATTAGCACAAAGCTCTATATACAGGTCAGCAGGCTTATGTAACAGTGATGCATCTGGCACTCTGTCCCAAATAAGTAAGACAGAATATGGCATGACTGCTACATAACCTTGTGCTCTGCTTATCAAATGCTCATATCTGTCTTTTTTCTGCTGCTTACAAATAGGACATCGAATCATTTTCACGAGACTTTTTTTTTTCTCCACTACTGCTCATCAGTCTAACTATGGCTTTGTTTCTAGAGCGAGATTAGATTTTGAGTTATTTCATGTTAGTTATAATTTTAACACAGTCTTTTAAATTCAATTGTTAACTTGCAAGTTCACTCCACCACATTTTCTCGTTGCTGCTCCTTGCACTGCCTTTTTCTTTAACCTCTTACATTTTGTCCCCCAGCCACCAGTTATCCCTCTGAAACGGTCATAGCAATGGTCAGGGACTCTGTGTGTTTGCCCAGGACCCAGCACTAACGAGGCTGTATTTGGACTCAGATGTTGTCAAAAACTTCTGTCCGTTATGAACTTGGAAGGATTTGCCTAGCATTACTCCTGAGTTTGAGGCTTTATGGGGGTCCATTCTGTACATATTGCATCATTCTGCAGATAGGGTCCATTCTGCAGATATGGCTTCAACACCTCTTTTTGCATTTGTTTCCATTTTTCACCATCAATTAAAATATTGACACTAGAACAGGACAATAATTCAATACCAACTTCATCAAAAAACAGTGGCTTTATCTGCAGGGATATAGCTCTACGACTCCTAAATTTGCACCTGCAATAACTTCCATAGCATGGCCTGTTAAGTCCATCAACGCTGCATGCATTTTCCCAGGCCTAACAACAATTCCCTGCTCAGGCGAGATATGCAGTATTATACTAAACCCAGCTAATCAACACTGTCTCTGCTGAAAGCAGGAAAAAAATGTCTCTATCATACTCCATCAGCTTTCCACATCCACTTTAAGCTATTAGTTCCAAAGACTTTCTGAGTAAATTTACATAAAATTCATCCTTCCCTCCTATACCTTGTTAATGCATTAGATAATAATTTTATAGGGAGTTCTTGGAGATCACCAGTGGCAGACAGATATCAGAGATCACACAGCTATACCTCGAGCACACAGCCCCAGGAGTTTATAGGGCCAGCCAGTTCCTGGATCCTCTAGTCACCTTCAAAAAAATTAAATGCCTATGGAGCAAGGATGCTATTTAATATCAGAGATCCTCTAGGTCTGTCTGCAGAAAGAAGGCTACGGATGCAGATAATCTCTGCATTTTTAGGCTCTGCTTTGAACAGGTCGATGAGAAAAGAACTGCTGTCAACAGATGTAAAGGTCCAGATAACAGACAGCAGGACTTGCTGGAAAATCTTTGAAAGTAGGAACTTGAGCCATTTGCAAGGGTAAGGAAGATGTGGGAGAGAAGCAGGTGGAACAATTTGTCCAGATAGGATTTGAGGAGTGGGTTTCTCTGGCCAAAAAGTTCAATTACTAGGTGCTCCTAGCCAGGACTTCAGCTGGCATAACTTCATGAGCTAGCTCAGTTCTAGACTGCTTAAGCAGGTAACAACATATTTGTGGCTTTCTATTAAGGGGCTTGGTCTTGCAAATCCTCCTCACATAGATCTTCTGTTGAGGAATATTGGAATGGGAAAAGTGTATTCAGGAGGCTTGTAGCATTACAAAGGACTAGGAAACAGCAGTTCTGTTGGCAATAAGCTACTGCAAACAGTTGCATAAGCTAGAGAAAAGCAAGAGCAATAGTTCCAAGCGTCTGCTTTTAGCATTATATTTACAGCCTTTCCCTGACTGTGCATATATTAAGCAGATTGCAAACTTGTAGTGAGTGGAGGGAACAATCTGGCTATTTATAAAGCAGTTAACCTTTAGGAATGACCTTTGTATTAACATTAAAACCAGTCTGCTTCATGTTTAAAGGAACAGCATTCCCATCATTTGGAAAATGAGAAAATACTACATAAATGTATGTGTGAAGATAGCCAGAAAGGAGTTTTCAGCCTTATCATCTGAAAGATCTTGGCTAACACAGGCTGCAGAAGAGATGGAACCAATGCAATCCTGAGCGATGACAAAGCACAGTCAGATGGCGGCAGAGTAAAGCTACTCCAGAATGCCTGCCGGGATGGGGAAAAAAACCATTCTTTTTATGTTTTTATGACACAGTGACTCTTTGTTGCAAAGTATTCCTGTTGACTTTCTTCTAACTGAAACAAATATATCAAACTTATCTTTATACATAAGTTACCTGCCAATATCAGCTAACAGTTGGATCCTTCAGCAGCATCATTTATCCAATGTTCAGCTGAGACTAAGAAACTAGAAACAACGGTTGGCATGATGCCATTTCTCTGACCTTATTTCAATGTGTTCTTGTTTCCAGGGAAATTCACAAAACTCACGTTACAAAATTCTAAGTGAAAATGAAGATTTTTTTTATACTTGGTTAACTCATCTATTAAGAAAAGGAAACAAAAATCAAATTAAATTGAGAGCTGCAATAACATTGACATAGGATAAACACAATGCTGTCACTGACTGCATGTGTAGAAACAATTAAATCGAAGTACAGGACACCCATTTACAGAGGCTCTAGTCTGAGTTACTAAGGTTACTTTCTACCTTAGCAAGCTATTTCACAAAAATATTTCAGATATTATGAATACTGTACCTTCACTACACCTTCTTTAATTTTTCCAGCTGATTGATTGAAAATTAACTTCTTGATGAAAGACCATGGGAGCCAAACCTTGCCTTCCATTCACCTTCAAAGACACAAAAACAGTGAAGCAAGCTTTGGTTTTCTCCACAAAGAAAAAATACAATGGTCCCAAACATCATATTAATACTATGAATTATTCAGAATCACAGCAGGTAATACAAACATTTTGCTGGGCATAACGACACAGCTGCAGTATTAAAAACTGTAAAAGGAATATAATTAACAACTAGAAAAGCAGAGTCTGGTTAAATAGCAATACCACTGTTCTTATGCACTCCCTTGGTGGATGGTTTGTACTACTAAAGTCTTCAGCAGCACATAATCATTCTAGCCCCAGGAGCCACCAGCCCTCAGAGATCACCTCCTCTTCCACAGGAGGATAAATCCAGAGGCCCG